AGCTGCCCTCAAGACACTGATCGCCATTGTGTTCATCGCTGGCCTGCCCATCCTCCTCGGCATGGTGTTGAACGGCTACATCAACTTCCATGCTGGCATCCGCATGAAGAAGAAGGCCAACGCCATCTGGTTCCTCGACCTGGCCATGACTGATGTGATCTTCCCCTGCATCCTGTCCTTCTGGTTGGGCTGCACGTGGCCAGGCACCCACGACCTCTTCAGCAGGTGGCTATGTGAGCTGAGCAACATCGTCACCTCCCTCCACATGTTCTCCAGCACCTTCTTCCTGACAGTCATCAACACCGACCGCTGCCTCTCCCTGGTCTGCCCCAGGTGGACTAGAAATCACCTCACGTCCCACCTGGCTTCCTGTTCTGGGCATCTTCCCTTGGGGTACAGCTTGAGACACCAAGAACTCTGGCATGCCCTGATGCACTACGCTGATGTGGTAAACCCAGGTTCATTTAGTTACTTCTATTATGAAAGCCGGTTCTTGGTGGGGGGAAAGGTGATGCCAAGCATCAATAACATTGATGTTATTTATCAATTCCTGGTTGGGTTCCTGGTCCCATTAGCTTTCATCGTCACCGGCTATGTCGTTCTAGCTGCCAAATTGAGGGGATTAAGCCATCTTGCTTATGCCAGCAAGCTCCACCTTGCCTTGGTCTTGACTTTTTTCCTTAGCTGGACCCTGTGCCATGTCTTCTACTTCCTTCAGCTCTTTGGTCAAGCATCACCTCTAAAGAACCAATGGTCCTTAGCCAGAGGCAGTGTCTTTGCTTATAGCCTGGTCTCTTTGAAGACCTGTCTGAATCCATTGTTTTGCTTCTGCTTGGGCCGGGAATTCGGGGCACAACTGAGATGCCCCAACCAAATGGACGTCGGATTAGAATTGGAACCAGTGCAATAGGGGAGCAAATGAATTCCTGGGGGAAATGGAGAATTTGTTTAGTTGCTTGACGCTTTTGGTATGAATGGATTTGCTGCAGGAAAACGGTCTTTTTGCAGAATAGAAAAAATTCATTTTCCCCCTACATTAACCATTTGCTGTGTTGCAAGCTTTCATGATTTTTTTTGTGACTCTCACAGTATTTGACTTAGAGCCCCAGCTCCTAGAAATATTATAAGAGAATTTTAGCAGCTTTCATTAAGAAAATAAGGACGTTTCTAGTCCTTTTGGAGAAAAGATCAAAAATGTAACCCAGAACGGAGCAGGACCAGAAGATACATAAAAAGAGCTCTGATTTATTACTATTTTTCTTAACTTCAAGATTTTTAAGCAAATTCCATTCCTTTTGGGGCCTGTTCCATGACTTTTGAACATTTGGTTTTGGCTGTGCTGCCCTTGTCAAATACTTGGAGGAAAACTGTAAACCAGAATGTCTGGTTTACCAGGGGATCTTTGTCTTTAGTTTTTTGGTCTCTCTTTGGTCTTTTGTCTCCACCAGAGCAGTTTGGAAAGTAGAATTTTTATTTTTATTCCACCTGGGGGCGGTCAGCTCCATAAAGTAGTGAAGGGCACAAAGAAAGCCAACTAGACCACACTCCCCTCACAGAGCTGGGGATAGAACCCAGGAGTCCTGGCTTCCAGCCCCACACCCACTCTAAGCACTATACCCCACTCCACTTCCGGAGCTGGGGATAGAACCCAGGAGTCACTATGGAGGGTTTGGGTGATTGATCGGCATTTTGGAATGAATGAGATTTCCATCGGGTAATGGCCTTTTAACGGAAATGCAATGTTTTGGATCACTAATTAGGCTGCTTTTCTAAATGTCCCATGCGGTGTGAGGCCAATGCTGACAATTTCACTGAGTCTCAAAATTTTGAATGTTTCCCTTAAAGCCCCTCGATGGAGCCGGTGGATCCCCTCAGTGGCTGATGGGGCTGTGGTTCTGTAGAGGGTACGGTCAGGGTGGCACCTGGGCTGAGTCAAGGAAGATTCAGAACGGACCAATGGAGCATGGGGGAGTAGCTACAGAGGGAACCTCGTGGCCCCTTATCCCCACTACTACCCCCTATCCTGTCCCCACCAGTGTGAAGACACCACCCCACATCCAGCTGCCCCAGCCCTGGAAGGGAGATTTCCCACACAACCCATCGCCCCATCCCTATTCACACGGCTGCACCCCACTTCGGCCTATTGGGGTGTGGCCTGGGTTGGCTCCTCCCTCTTCTGCCCCCCCACTGGTCTAGTCAGAACTGGATTGGACCAGCTCCTGCCCATTCGTCTCTCAATATCCTGCAGCCAATTATTGAGTGGCACTGACTTGTGGCCAATCAGCGCGTGGCATGGCATGGGGAGGCAGCTGCCAATCAACAGGCAGAGCGAGAGGGGAGGGGGAAGAAGAAGCCCCGCCCTTCTGAGAGAAAAGTGGCGAAGCCCCGGCTCCAGGGAAGAGAAAGCTCTGCCCACTCTGCATGGGGAGGAAGGGGGTGGGGTTTCCAGCCCATCTCTCTACTTATCTGAAGAGTCGACATTTTCGGCAAGACTTTTTGGCCTGTCCAAAAACGCCGATTTACTTGAAGTTGGAACTTTTCACGGGAATTCCGCGGATCTCCCGACTCAAAAAGGGGTGTTGGGGGGGGGGAGTTTTGAAATTCCAGACGAAAGAGTCTGATTCTTCCAAAATAACCTTTTTTTCCTGGCAAATATAAGCTAAAAAAATGTAAAAAGGGGTGGGATTGAAACACACCATTTCGAAGTGGTCGGAACAGAGCGTTTCGATGGGGGTGAAGTTTCTGCCACTGGCACTTTTTAAAGCAAGTTGGGATATTTTTTTTAAGAGATCTGCTCCTGTTCAAACAGGAATTAAGTCACGGGAGTGGTAGGAGTTGTGTTATCCAGGTGGTCAAACTGGATCAGAGGTCCCCAGTCTGGGAGGGGCGCCCCCTAGGTGGGCAGCGAGGAAGGTTCGGGGGGCACGTCTGGCTCAGTTCCAGCTGCTGGCCCTGTCCCTGGGGCTGTTCTCAGCCCTGGCTGCCATCCCCGCAACCGAGGCTCCATGCCCACCCCCAGCTGTGGCCCCAGCCTTGGCCCCCTTACCTCTGTCCACACCCCTCCCTCTCCCAGAGCTCTGCTCCCACCCCTAGTGCCAGGGGGTGGTGGGAGGGATGCGGACAGGGGTAAGCAGGGGGTACGAGGTAAAAAGTTTGGGGACCAGTGGACTAGATGATCACAATGGTCCCTTCTGGCCTTGGAAGCTCTGATTGTCCCGAATCGATTTCCCCCCCACAAGGTTTTTGGTTCATGAAAATGTTGGAATTTCAAGGTTTGGCTCCGGGTTGGGATGGGAACATTTTTCCAAAATGTGTAGTATGGGGAAACCCTTTTCTGCCCAGCTCTGCCAACCCCCTGCACCCTCGGCCCGACAGCACTAACGGTGATGGTGGATGTGGGTTTGGATGGCGTAGGACAGAGGAGATCATGCCCTTCCAGCCCCCCGGGCCCACCCTGCCTTTCCGTATGTGAACAGCACCTTACACCCCTTCTTCGGGAATCCCTACCAGCATGGAGAAGAGGATGGAGCCCAGTGTGAATGGACAGGCGTTCTCTTTGCCATCCTCTTCAGTCTGGATTCCTACTCAGCGTGACAGACAACAGCCCGGTCATCTTCATCGCCAGCTGATGGCCGCTGTCTGGAACCTCAACTCAGCCATGGCCGACTTCATCTTCACCTCCTTCCTCTCCACAGAGGTGGCCTTCATCATCCTCCTGGGGGCAAGAACCAGCCCCCTCTGCTGCTCCCACCCCACCTGGACCAGCCCCTCTGTCTCTCTGCTCCTCCTGTAACTTTTAGTGTCATGTGCTCTGAGATGGTGGAGCTGTCCAGTGCTGAGGAACCTACCAGGCCTTCAGGAACCCGGGATGGCCGCTTTGGCATCTGGTTACCAAGCTCTAGGGCTGCACAAAGGGGCATTAAATAAGGGGGCGGGAAATCAGGTTGGCTGAGCCCATGGGCCTGATCTAGGTAGGCAGGGAGGGGGCGGGATACCGGGCTAGATGGGCCCATAGGGTGGATCCAGTGATGGTAGTTCTGTGTCCTGGCCCCTGTCTGGGCCAGGCTGACACAGGGAGGGGCAGGCAGCTGGCAGGGAGTCGAGCTGCCATGGAAAGGTGGGAACATTGACAGGGAAGGAGTCGGGGCATTGGTCCAGCTGCTCTGCGGTCTGTCAGTCTGTGCAGCCCCGAGCGGGAGGAGGATGGGTCTTGTGCTCTCTTGCAGCCAGAGACTGGCCCTTCTGACTATCACTGGGAGTCGGGATACCTGGGTTCTATCCCCAGCTCTGGGAAGGGAGTAGCATCTAGTGGGTAGAGCAGGGGGGCTGGGAGCCAGGACTCCTGGGTTCTCTCCCCAGCTCTGGGAGGGGAGTGGGGTCCAGTGAGTTAGACCTGGGTGTCCCTTGTGCATTAACTCCATTTGTGCAGGAGTCAGTGCTTGTCAGATCCCCGCTCCCTCCCGGGTTTTAAATCCCGCCATGATGAAGGCTCACTGCATCTGGCGGACCAGAGGCGACAGAGAGGGATCTGGTTCAGCCTATCTTGGCATCTGGCCACTAAGTTGGAGCCATCAGACAGGACGGTGACACTGACCAACCCCAGGGCCCTGCCCTTGGACCATCGTGTGTCGCAGGTGTTTTTTTCCTCCCCTGGGTCCCTTCTGTCCCGTGCCCAGCTGTTTGCGATCCTTCACCCCCTCCCTGCCCCCCTCAAAAAAGTGACCTGCCCCGTAATCACACACAGGACTCCTGCCTCCAAGTCGTCCCCCCCCTCCCATGCCCTGCTGTAACCCTTGACACCACTCCCCTCCCAGATCTCTAGTTCCAAACAAGTCATCTTTTACCATAGTGATAACTTCTTATAATGAGCTCATAACCCCTTTGAGTGACCCCCCCCCATAATGAACTGAACCTCCCTACAGAGAATCCCCCCTTACAGTGAACAATTCACCCCTGATTGAGAAGGTGTCTTTCTTCTTTTTTCAATGAAGAAACCAGAATCTTTCTACAACGCAGCTCTATTGTCTCTATTATCTTGGCTGTGTGTCCCGTTCAGATCCAATTCCCAGCTCCCAGGATCAGCAAGGGCACCCGCATTTCATTTCGTACAGCCTCAGCTTTCAATAGAACTCTGCTCATTAAGAAACCGAGCGACCCGCTATTAAGGAGGAAAGGAGAAAAGCGAAGGTTTTGGGGTCTGTTCTCAGAGACCAAATGGAGACGTCATTTCAACAAAGTTCCTCTGAACACCAGATCTCTCCAGTTGGATGCCCCCACAATCACTCTTGGGTATAGAAAACGCTGCTCAAGTTATGCTCACTGAATGCATTTACTACAGAGAAATCAGGGAAGGATCCCACCACCAGGTGATGGCATTTTGTTCTTCGTTGGCTTCTATCCATCCACACGGAAGCATCTGTTCACAGAAATGTAGGGTTAGAAGGAACCTCAAGAGGCCTTCAAGCATCTTCTCCCATGGTGAGACAGGACCAAGCGAACCTAGACCATCCCTGGCAGGGGTATATCAACACAAGCAGAGCCAAGCAGGGAATCATGTCTATGGAAGGGTGAAGTTCACTGGGTCAATTTTGCCCCTGTTGATGTTGGGGAGAGGTTCTGGCTGAACACAGCTGAGGTTCCCAGCTCTCAGCAGATGCATGGTGCCTAGAAGACCTGGGAATCCATGTCTGTGGACTTGCTCTTCGTGTTCGCAGTGATGCTGGCAGCCTCCTCACTGAAGGCAGTTTCGAAGGCTGAGAAGAGGGAGCGGCGCAGCTTCTCCTTGAAGTCCTGACCCATGAAGACGTAGAGGATGGGATTGAGGCAGCTGTTGATGAAGGCCAGGCTGGCGGTCAAGGGAAGGCCGACAATGAGGGTGGTGTCCATGCTGGGTGTCCGGTTCATCTCCAGGAAAGAGAAGATGTGGTAGGGGAGCCAGCAGAGGAAGAAAGCCACGATCACGGCAGCAATGACCTTGAAGGGCTTCCCAGATCGGGCCAGTTGGTTCCTCCTTAGCTTGACCAAGATGGCACCGTAGCAGCACACGATGACAGTGAAAGGGATAAGGAAGCCTAAGATAAAGCGGCTGATGATCATGGCCCGGTGGTTTGTGTTTTTCCTCCTGTTTCTCTGCTCCTCGGTGGCCCCTTCCCCCACACTGTCGAAATTGTTGTAGCAGTTGGTGATATTCTTGTTGTATGGGGAGGGTGCCGTGTGGCGGAAGTATAGGTTCGGAGAACACAAGGCCAAGGCCACGACCCACACACCCAAGGCTACCAGGAAAGCCAGGTGGGGTGTGCGGTGGTTCTGGGCCCACACAGGGCGCACTACGGAGATGCAGCGGTCTATGCTGATGACCATGAGGAGGTAGACGCTGGCGTAGAGATTGAGGAAGGCCAAAGTGCTGTTGATCTTACACAATGCCCTCCCAAATGGCCAGTGGAAGCCCAGGGCTGTGTAGGCCAAACTGAAGGGGAGAAAGAAGGTGAAGATGAAGTCGGCCACGGCCAGGTTGAGAAACCAGATGGTGTTGACTGTCCTCTTCATCCGGAAGCCAGTGATGAAGATGACCAGCCCGTTGCCCGTCACTCCCAGTCCGAAGGCAATGGAATAGATGACCATAGTGACCACATGCATGCTATTGAAGAGCGCTTGCTTACGGACCATATCTTCATCATTGTACATAGGATCATCATAATAGAAGGTGGAGGAGACATCCAACAGAGTTGTGGGAAGAGAGATGCCCTCCACAGCCATGGGGATGTTTTCAATTCTCTCTGCCTTACTTCTTTCTCCACCTGTCACACACCAACAGAACTCATCCATTAGTTATCTCCCCTGGCTACCTCCCAACCAGCCAGTGACTTGGAGGGAACACCACCCTTCAGAAGGACCAAGGGAATGTGGGACTCCTGTATTCTGTTGCACGACATTTACACTCAGTGAGAAACTTGGACAAAGATGATAGAGAAAGGGGACCAAGATACTCTCCTGGCCCCTAACTGGTAAATTAATTTACTTATTTCCCGGTCACTGTGTTAGGTCAAAGTCTTCAAACTCAAGGATGGTAATAAATTGGAGAGGACTCAGAGAAGAGCAGTGGGAATGATTCAAATATTGGAACACCTGCTTTATAGTGAGAAATTCCAGGAAATCCATCTATCTGGCTTAACAAAGAGAAGTTGAAGGGGTCCCAGTCTATAGATACCTACATGGAGAACAAATATTTGACCATGGACTCTTCAGTCTAGCAACCAAAAGCCTAACAAGACCCAATGGCTGGAAGTTGAAGCAAGACAAATTTAGACTGGAAATAAGGGGCAACTTTTTAATGGTGACAGAATTCACCATCGGAATAACTTCCTAACGGCTCTAGTGGATTCTCCATCACTGGCAGTTTCAAAATCAAGACTGGAGGTGTTTCTAAAAGATTTGACTTTAGTTCAAGCAGGAATTACTGGGGTGAGGTCTATGATCTGTGTTGGATACCATTGGGTGGCCCTCCAATAATGGACTTTTTGGTTTGCTGGTGATTCCAAACAATTGAGGAGGAAAAATTGTTTCAGATCGAACCACAATGAAATTTTTTCGCAATTTTCGGAAAAATCAGTTTGGGGAAGCATTTCCTTCTACCTGAACGGAACCATTTCATTTGGATCTCGAGTGTTTTTCATGGCTTCAAATCATTTAAACATGGATAAAATTCAAGGATATTTCAAAATGAGAAGTCATTGAGAATAGACACTTTTGGTTTCCCAAAATGCCCAGTGGAAATATTTCAATGAGGGGGGTGAGCTTTGTTTTTTGGCAGGCCGAGGGGGGGGGCGGGATCCTGAAATGAGCGATTTAGTGAAACCGGCCTGGATTCATTAAATGTATCAGTGTCACCAAATCTGCATTTTTCACTGAAAAAAAAAAACAATTCAATCAAAATATTTCACCAGGTGATACTCAAAAATCTGTAGGCTGCCACTGGGGGGGCCCCCGGACACTGAGAAATTCAGATGGAAAAACAAAATGCTTGTGGTTAGTTGTGTGTTGCAGCACGATCAGTGAATTATTTATTGCTATTTCAGTGGGGTTTAAATTATTATTCAGCTAAGACCCTCCCATAGTTACCCCGCCATGACCTTCAGACCTTGCAGTAGGGGATGAATGACCCAATTGTGGGAAACCTGGGGGAGGGAGATGTTCTGTGCCCCACAGTGATTAGCAGGCTGTTCGTTAATAGCTCCCCTCCCACCCGGGATATGCCTTGCAAACTTTCAGACAAAAGTTGGGGATGATCAGCATGCCTGGGTTCTACTTCCACCCCTGGGTCGGGAGAGGGGACCAGGGGGTTAGAGCAGGGTGGCTGGGGTCAGGACTCCTGGGTTCTATTACTGGTACGAGAAGGGGAGTGGGGACCAGTGGTTTATAGCAGGGAGGGCTGGCTTTTAGGATTCCTGACTTTGGGCTCTAGTGGTTACCGTGGTGGGTACAGCCCGGCTAGCCAAGTCCATAAATCTGGCACATTTCTTCTGAGAGGCAGCATCTCCATGTGGGAAAAACTTCCCACGGTCAGACCACCCCTACCCCAGACTCTGCCCCCAGTTAACTGATCTGTGCAGGGAGAGTTGGGGCTGCCTCCCCAGATTTTGGGGGGCAAAGACCTGGAGGCCTTGAGTTAAACGAAGGGCTGGGAAGTGCACGGAAAGATTTGTAAAATCTGTAGCAACTGATTCCAGTAAAGGCTAGTAACCGGGCAGCTGGAAGGCTCTCTGCCCGCCTCTCGTGGCTGCCAGCCCACTCCTGCAGCTATTTCTTCAGCACACCCTGTTCAAACACCAGCTTCTTGACACGCAGGCCTCAGGATCCGTCCCCCCCGCCCCGATGTCCCAACCCAGGGGTGGTTGTTAAATAGGGGAAGAGGAAAGGCAGACTCCATGCCACCCCTGTCCCAGCACCACTTCCTCTTCTGAACGGGATGGGAGCTCCAGTTACTTTAGTTATTAGATTTTACCCCTCCAGAACCAAGAATACAGCCCTGCAGTCCTGGCTCCCAGCCCCCCCACAGGTGGGGAGAGGACCCAGGAGTCCTGGCTCCAAGCCTCCACCCCCACTCTAATCCACCAGACCCCACTCCCCTCCCAGAGCCAGGGTAGAACCCAGGAGTCCTGGCTCCCAGCCCCCCTGCTCTAACCCCTAGACCCCACGCCCCTCCCAGGAGCCACATAGAGAACCCGGGAGTCCTGGTCACCTTCTTATACCTCTGGGTGCTCACGGTGCATGTGATGTCTCCTTTCCCGTCTATGGGGCTCTCTAAGGGCAGCCTCTCCCTGGCTGATCCTCTCCTCTGAAGCCAGCCCCGTCTGCTCCTCTCGGGTAGTGGATCTCAAACCCTCCAGAGGCCCGGGATGCCTTTGTATGTGCTGCTAGCAAGGCGTGGTCCACAGCACTTGACCAACACAGGAAGAACACTGAGCCTCTGCCCCAACAGAGAGAACAACGGAAGAGTGATGTAACCCTTGACATCTGCACAGGCGTGGAACAGGATTCCTGGGTTCTATCCCTGGCTCTGGCTCAGGAGTGGGGTCAAGTGGGTGATAGCGGGGGGGCTGAGAGCCAGGATTCCTGGGTTCTATCCCTGGCTCTGGCTCAGGAGTGGGGTCAAGTGGGTGATAGCGGGGGGGCTGAGAGCCAGGATTCCTGGGTTCTATCCCTGGCTCTGGCTGAGGAGTGGGGTCTAGCGGGTGATAGCAGGGGGGTTGGGAGCCAGGATTCCTGGGTTCTATCCGTGGCTCTGGCTGAGGAGTGGGGTCTAGTGGGTGATAGCAGGGGGGCTGGGAGCCAGGATTCCTGGGTTCTATCCGTGGCTCTGGCTGAGGAGTGGGGTCTAGTGGGTGATAGCAGGGGGGCTGGGAGCCAGGATTCCTGGGTTCTATCCGTGGCTCTGGCTGAGGAGTGGGGTCGAGTGGGTTAGAACATGGGGGTCTGTGAGTCAGAACTCCTGGTTTCTGTCCCACAGCTGAGTGGGGTCCAGTGGTAAGAGTAGGGGGCTGTTGTATTAATTTATACTAAAGGAGCCCAAAAGTCAAAAGTTGTGACCACGAATCTGAAACTGTACAACTTTAAACAAGGTTCAGGGTTTGCTCCACAGAATCTGCAGCCTGTTTATGACCCCAGCAAACACCCTTTTATTAAAGAAACGGGGGGGGGGGGGGGAGTGAATTCCTTTGCCATGTAAAGTATTAAGTCAGGCTTTCACTTGAACCGTAACCCTTGTGCCCTTGGGTGCAGAGAGATTTTGGGAAGGGAAAACCCACCTGGTCCGACAGCCTTTTAGCTGGTGCCCGAGATGATTTGGGGAAAGGAGGAGAAGTCAGCTGAGCTGGGCTGGAGCCCTCGTCCTTGCCTCTGTTGTTAAAGTCTGATGCTGTTTCCTGGAGGACAAAATAGCACAAACCCACAGAGAAAAGGTGAGGAAAAACCCAGCAGGGCAAGAAAACGTCGCTTCTGTCTCCCGGAGTGACTCTTGCTTGCAACTTCTTGGCTGAAAAAACACCACCCCAAGACCTGGCAGATTGTACCAGCTTCAGGCTGTTCCGGGCGTCGCTTTTAGCCACCTCTCTGGGCGCAGAGGGGCTGCAGGGGATGCAAAATACACAGGCCTGGCTGGCCAAACCCGGCTCTTTTTAGCCAGGTGGCAAAAGGAGAGGGATGGGAGAGAGACGGGGGGGAAGAAAAGGACTCACAAAGTGAGGTGTCTGCCTTCACTGGCGGTGGTTACAGCATCTGTCAGTTACACCCAGAATCCGACACCCCAACTGTGGTTCGCTGATCTCCGCTCCCGCACGTCTCGCGTTTCCCCGGTCTCAGCTTTGCACCCACCGGGCTTTGGGGTCCGTCTCTTTGGTTCCCTCTGGCACCTTTTCCCATCAACGTCGATTGTTCGACAGGGGGTGTGACAGATGCGGAATTTTCACTCACTTCTCACAGCTGAGCTCACAATTACAATTAGTTTGCAGGCCCAGTTATGACAACAGGGCTGGAAGCCAGGACTCCTGGTTTCTATCCCCAGCTCTGTGACAAGAGTGGGGTCTAGTGGTTAGAGAGGGGGGGTGCCTCAGAAAGTAGGGTACTCAGGTCTTGGGGACTCGCTGAGATGGGCGGGAAGGGTAACTCAGATCAGGAGCTTTACAAAGCCAGGGCAGATGGCCTGGAACTTCCGCTACTTCCGTGTGTTGCGGCAGAAACGTTTCCCTGTCCACCAGGGGACCTGAAGTCCCCACAAGTCCCTGCGCCACCCCCCCCCCCCCCCCGCTCATCTGTATTCTCAGCAACAGGAGCTCTCTTGCAGTTCGTGTAGCTCAGACACCCCCGTGGAGCTGGACTCCCAGCTGGTGCCCACGGCATAGATCCATTGGCTGAAACAGTGCCACATCACTTTGCTGCAGCTGGGGATCGAGCCCTATTGATCCCAGTGGGGCTATGGCCAATTGACCCCAGCTGGGATCTGGCCCCATAGATTCCAATGGAGCTACGGCCGATTGACCCCAGCTGGGATCTGGCCCCATAGATTCCAATGGAGCTACGGCCGATTGACCCCAGCTGGGATCTGCCCCATAGATTCCAATGGAGCTACGGCCGATTGACCCCAGCTGGGATCTGGCCCCATTGATTCCAATGGAGCTATGGCCAATTGACCCCTGTTGGGGGGCTGGCTGATTTGCTTTGTCTTTCTCCCACAATCTGTGCTGAAGTTCAAAGTGACTTTAATACATCAGCTATAATGAGAGACTTGGCTAAAGTAGATAGATAGATAGATAGATAGATAGATAGATAGATAGATAGATAGATAGATAGATAGATAGATAGATAGATAGGGTGTATAGGGATAGATAGATAGATAGATAGATAGATAGATAGATAGATAGATAGGGTGTATGGGGAGGATAGATAGATAGATAGATAGATAGATAGATAGATAGATAGATAGATAGATAGATAGATAGATAGATAGGGTGTATGGGGACAGATAGATAGATAGATAGATAGATAGATAGATAGGGTGTATAGGGATAGATAGATAGATAGATAGATAGATAGATAGATAGATAGATAGATAGATAGATAGGGTGTATGGGGACGGATAGATAGATAGATAGATAGATAGATAGATAGATAGATAGATAGATAGATAGATAGATAGGGTGTATGGGGACAGATAGATAGATAGATAGATAGATAGATAGATAGATAGATAGATAGATAGATAGATAGATAGATAGATAGGGTGTATGGGGACGGATAGATAGATAGATAGATAGATAGATAGATAGATAGATAGATAGATAGATAGATAGATAGATAGATAGGGATGAGATAGATAGATAGATAGATAGATAGATAGATAGATAGATAGATAGATAGATAGATAGGGTGTATAGGGATAGATAGATAGATAGATAGATAGATAGATAGATAGATAGATAGATAGATAGATAGGGTGTATGGGGACGGATAGATAGATAGCTAGATAGATTATATGGGGATGGAGTGCGGGGTGTATGGGGATGGATGCATGGGTGGTGGGTATAATAGGCCAGGGAAAGATAAGCCTCCCCTAACCAAGCCCTGGCCCCGCCCATGCTCCGCCCTCTCCCCCAAGCCGGCTGGAGCTCAGCTCCGGCCAGAGGCCAGCAGGCAGCTGGGGCCAGTGGGTGGCCCAACACTGGGCCGGTGCTGGGTGTGGCCAGCGGCCTGGGGCGGCTCAGCCTGGGCTCCTCCAGCGGTGGGGGGGCGAGGGGGGGCATTGGGGCTCTGGCAGACAGGAACGGTGGAGGAGGAGCCTCGGGTGGAGAGGGCGGGGCCGCAGGGCTCGCAGGGGCTCATGTGCCTGGGTAGATCGGCAGAGCGGTAACAGGCAGCTGTCCCTGCACCTTCCTGCCCTGTCCCACATCTACTGTAACTGAAATTCTTGCCCACAGAGTCGCAACTTCCCCCACAGGGAGATGATGAAATGACCGGGAGTGGTGGAGCTGAAATCATGTGGACAGTGGGTGCAGGGTGCATGTGACTGTCAGTCCTGGCTCCCGAGCCCTATTCCCCGCCCCGGAAGGGGAGTGGGGTGTAGAGGGAGAGCTACGGCCCATTGAACCCAGCTGGGGGTCTGGCCCCACTGACTCCATTGACACGAAGGCCTATTTACCCCGGCTAGGGGTCTGGCCCCACTGACTCTAATGACGCGAAGGCCGATTGACCTCAGCTAGGAATCTGGCCAATTTGCTTTTTCTTTCTCCCACAGTCTATTTTCAAATTCAAACTGATTTTCATACATCAGATGTAAGGAGAAATTTGGACAGAAAAGACTTTTACTGCATCTGTTGTGGTCAGCCGGAGCCTAGGTAGATTGATGGTCTGTATGGAGATAGATAGATAGATAGATAGATAGATAGATAGATAGATAGATAGATAGAGGGGGTGGCTGGGGATAGATAGATAGATAGATAGATAGATAGATAGATAGATAGATAGATAGATAGATAGAGGGGGTGGCTGGGGATAGATAGATAGATAGATAGATAGATAGATAGATAGATAGATGGGGTGGCTGGGGATAGATAGATAGATAGATAGATAGATAGATAGATAGATAGATAGATAGATAGATAGATAGAGGGGGTGGCTGGGGATAGATAGATAGATAGATAGATAGATAGATAGATAGATAGATAGATAGATAGATAGATAGGGTGTATGGGGATGGCTAGATAGATAGGTAGTCCCTCTCCAGTTCTGATTGATCCAGTCACTCTGTCCTCTCCAACCTGCCGTACCCTAAACCTACAGTGGCTGAAGCAGGTTGGGAGGACGTTACTCACCTGTTACTAAGGCCTTGTCTACACTAGAGTTTTGTTGACAAAAGTTTTGCTGCTTTAATGAAGCTGCTGTTGCGTGTCCACACGAGCTCTGTGTGTCGGCGGCGTGCGTCCACACTAGCAGCTCTCGCACGGACACAGAGAGCAGCTTTGGGAAGGGTTTGCAGCGCCTCATGGGGCAGGGACCGCGTCACACGATGCTGGTGTCTAAATCCCGTCCGTCCGTGGGCATCCTGCTAGCTTGCCAGCCGCTTTTCCACTGAAGTGTGGGGGGGAGGGGGTGTGACGGGGAGTGTGGAGGCGGGGGAGACACCGAGACTAGTGTGTGTTACGGGAGGGCGTGTGTCGGCACGCTGCCTCTTTTAGTTCAGCCAGCGGCTGGAAGCAACTGGGCCTGAGGCAGGGGGATGGGGACACGCCTGACATTACCCCCCCCCGCCTCCCTCCCCGCTCTGCACAGCACAGCAGTCCCCTGCCCCCCAGCTGTGTTCCTTTTGCCAAACAAACTGTGGCGTGTAGACCAGGCCTGAGTCTCCACGTTCAAAGGTGATGCAATAAACAGAGGATGCTCGTGC